ATAGTATGTATAGATCACTGCTTTACGATCCTTTTGAGTGTCTGATTTTGTCTAATGAACCCCCAATCAGCCTAAACAGAAGGCTGAACATAGTGATCCTGGTTCTTATGGTGGTTTATTCCTGTTTTAAAAGGAAGTTTTTTTTTCTCTCCACTGTTGGTGCATGCATGCTCTATGTAAGGGATTGTTGTAGAGTCAATGACACAATGCAAGCAAGTGTCAAATGTAGCCATCTAGGAAGAGCGAATCAGTGCAAAGTCAATGACTCAATGCAATCAGTTGTTTTTTTCCTTAGATCGAAAACTTTTAACCAATCTGAGTGTTTGATCTGATAAAATTGTCTCTGAAAAGTCCCTTGAGATGATAGGTGTTATGATTTGCCCTATATAAATAAACTGAACTAAATTATATTGAATTCCAGTTAGGATAAGAGAGGATAGCATGGGAATTATACATGAAAAAGTTACAGTTTCTTTCATCAAATATGACGTATTCAGACCATAATTGTTTAGGGTGGTTAAATGAAAGGTCAGAAATCCAAATGTTTGGACACATTTAAACCTGTTAGATGATGACAAGCCCTTCCAGAATACACACAAAGAGTCCCTGTCATTTTGAGACCAGCTATTTCTGCTGTCTCTGAAGAGCTGGATGTTTTTAGAGTAGAGGCTAATCTTGGATAAGGGCAATGAGTAGAGTCAGCCTTCCTGGTGTAAAATATCACACATTGACTTTCCTCACTCTGGATACAACTTCACAGACAGGCAGCAACAGAAGTTAAATGGCAGTTTTCTAACTGCTAATCGTTAACTGAATATTGACCTGAACATTCCACTAAAGCAAAATAACATTTCTTTGTCTTTCAGCATATTTCCATTTAATAAAAGCCTGCATATTTTATAAATCTAATCAATGGTCTCTTATATGTACAATGGATGCTTTTCCTATATGTTATGTAACGGGTAGTGGTGTTTTCCTCATATTGCACAATTGCCCTATGAGCTCACTTGCCCCATGATGGTACAGCTCTCTAAAGGCCCTTATATGATTCTTGTAAGAACTTGCCTCTCAGTGGAGCCCCCGGTCACTATGGGGTTTTGTTGCTGCTATTTGAGCATAGAGGGGTTCCAAGAATGACAGGGTAGATCAGGGCTTACTAAATCTCCCCCACGTTGAAGTTGTAACCTTTATGAAGCACCCTAGCTCAGAGCAGATATGTCAACAGGGATTATTTTACCCTGTTGTCATGCTGAATCCGCCTACAGTTTTAGTGAGAAAATGTGTCTTTCCAAAGGAACTCTGACCTATAGATGAATAGAATACAAAAGAGCGTCTAAAAACAAAGAACAATAGTTCATAGAGACACAGAGTTGACTCCACCCCCTTTTCCCTCTACAGTATTGCTGAAAAAAACAGTCCTTCCATTACATCAACCTTAGCAACCGTAAAAACATTCAAGAGGCCAGATGGATCTCTTCCAGATTAACAGTGTTGTGCTTTCCCCAGTGAAGATTGGGCCTTTTTCTCTCCTCCTTCCCTGGATTGAAACATTTGCTTCTTGTTATTTGCAATGATCAGAAAAGAGTCAAGTTTTTTATCACATGTGATAATTCAAAGTGTGTAATCATATGCAGATGTTTTAACCTTACTCTGCTTCTAATTTAGTAAGATGTATGATGATTACATCATAGATTTGAGCAATAATAGCTTGTGTTTTTCCTCACTTTCTTTGCCAGATTACATACAAAAAGAAAAATGCTGCCGTCTCAGTCTTTATTTTTCTACCCCCCAGATTATTGGGGTGCTATCAAATTTCTGGCAGATCCTCTAGTTTTACTGGATTGTCCGAGTGGTCAGCACAGGTGTTGTCAAAACTTTGGACAGCTACAGGGGTTATTTTGGTATGTTTGGTGTTTCCAGGATGTTGCTAGGATGTAGGTTTATTCCCACCTATATTAAGTTGCCCTTCTTATTTTTCACCTACCAATATCAATGTCATTGTTTTATGTTTCAATTTTAGCTCTTGAATGTTCAGAGTTTTTTGTATGGTCTTCGACACAAGAAAACTAAAGCTGCCCAGAGAGCTGTGGACATGTTGGCAAGGTAACTCAATAGAAAAGATTCCCATACTGATGAAAAAAATGAGTTAAATATTAAGATATTGGGGCTGCTCAGTGGCATAGAGGATAGCACTGCTGGATTGCAGCTAGAAGGTTCTGACTTTGATTCCTGGCCCAAGGTCTTTCTGCTTGGAATTTGCATGTTCTCCCTGAGCATGGGTGGGTTCTCTCCGGGTACTCTGGCTTCCTCCCACAGTCCAAAAAACATGACTGTTAGATTAATTGGCTTCTCTAAATTCTCCTTAGGTATGAGTGTGTGCGTGAATGGTTGTTTGTCTCTGTGTTGCCCTGCGATGGACTGGTGACAGGGTGTACTATGCCTCACGCCCATAGACAGCTGGAGATAGGCACCAGCACCCCTCATTCTTCTTCCTGGATAGGAAGCGAAATGTCTTCAAACTTGAAAACAAGTGATTATGTTTTTTTTTTTTTTTTTTACTTTTTTTGGAATATCACCAGAATGATTGACAATTAGGGGGACCACTTATTTTGAAAGAAATTTTACTCAGGTGCACATGGATGTATATCACTATTTTCATTTCTCCATGTTCTTTTCCAAAAATGAGGTTGTGTTTAGATAACACTGTAATTGTTTGTTAATAAACAATCAAATATTTAATGTTGTTTTTTTTATCTATATATGATAGTGCATAGTGTGACTCCTAATAGGTGCCTTTAACATTTAAGGTTCTCTGACTCTTAAGTATGATGATATTAAACCTTTAATTATTGTTCAGCTAATTGAGTCAACTATGTAATGCTAGTTTTTAAGCACCTGAAGTGGTTAAAAGGTAACACAGGGAAAACAAAAGGAAAAAAAAACACACACCTGTCCTGTTATACCAGCTAGTGTTAAAGAGATAAACTCGTTAAGATTTTAGTGAAATGATAATAGTCTTAAATTCAGCTATTTTTTTAGACTTGTTAAATTTTTTCAGTGAAAAAAATACTCACACAAAAATTCCAGTAGTGTATATTTAATATTCAATATGAAGATATCCATGAAGTATGAATTACATGCTAAAAGCAACATCGCCAAAAGCAGTTGTATGATTTAACAGAAATAATTTTCATACAATTTTATCCATCCAATTTATTCATGAACAATGATTGATATCTTCTTTGTAACTCTTCCGATACTAATCTTGGTTAATGCAATTTGTTGGCACATGGTATCCAGATACAAGTTTTTATAAAGATGTACCACAACTTTATAAATTTTTGAGAAAAGATTAAAAAGTCTGGAAAGGATTTGAAATCCTAATATATCTAGCCAGTAAACACAACACATCTTTTTGTGAAAAATTCGAGCAGTAGAAATACTAAATATTTTATTTATGTGTTTTACAATGCAGCAGCAAAAGGCTATTTTGTGAATATAATGCTCCATAAAGTGTAACTCTATAAGATATCCTGAAAATGCCCAATACAAGTAAACGGAGTGAATGCACTCACACTAATTATGCCTTTCCAAACAGCACAGAAGACAACAAACCCTGGTGGATGCTAAATGCCACTAAGCTGATGATCCAAAAATAGTCCTGAACACTCCCAGGTCAGAGTAAAGTTGAATCCATCGTGCCAATACTGCGACTTCCAACATATTTGAGCAAACAAAAGGTGTCAAATACAGCATGCCTTACAATAATATTCTCACCTTTTGTTGAGCTTTTGATTTAATTTATTTTTTTTATTTACTCTCCTCTTTTAGTTATTGCTTCAAATATACACTTTTTATTATACGTAAATAAGACGTCTTTAAAGTCATGTTAGAAGATTTTCAACTTGACCCTTTATCACATGTTGGGATCTCGAATGTTTTCCATACATCTATAATTCACAGCAGTGTAAAATAATGCTAATACATGCTTAACACATTTTAGTTAATAAATGCAGAATGTGTTTGTTGTTCAATACGTGTTTTACTTCTAAAAACATATTTTTTTGCTAGAAATGAAAAAAAATTTATTATCTTAATACTCATCTACAGTAAGTAATTTCTTTTTTTTGGTACATTTAATGTACATCTTCCACTTAAAATCCTACCTATAAGCCAAAATGCTTTCTTAATTGTCAATAATTTCATGTTTAATGTAACCTCTGTCTTTAGAATATAATAATTAATACCAATGTCAATGTATCTTATTAAGGTACTTGTTGCACAATTAGAATTCCCAACCTGCAAAGATAGCACAGCACAGAATAACAGTGCCCTGTGTTGGTCCATGGTAAACATAAATCCAAAGGATCCAACAATATAGGCACAGGTGACTGAGTCAATTGTTTAATGTACACTGTGGAGTTGGGTTTTTAAAGCTCCACCAAACAGCTTAATGCTAAATGATAGCTTAGATGAAGCATAGAAAATAAGGAAAGCTATATGAGATAAAATCAAGATAAACCAACACGTATATTTGTTGGTCTGTGGATTGACATCTTGCTCATATATTTGTTATTTTGCTCGTTGTTAAAAAATATGCAGTGCCACTGCCATGTTACATAATAGCGCCTGTGTGAATTCGATACAATTTCTGACACATTTCCTCGTTAGTCCTCGACGGGGCTTTCAAGGTAAAGTGTTGCAACTCTTTTTTCAGTAGAAATCTCTGGGTTTTCAGAGAGTAGGGACTGTAAATTTTGCTCTGAGCTCTCCTTACTATGGTCACCCTGCACCTCCATCTTAACGGCAAAAGACTTTTCTGATGGTTCCAGTTTGACGTGTTTCTCAATTACATTAGATGCAGATTCCCCAATGCCAGAAATGATCTCAAAACCATCATCATAAGCAATACCCCTGTCTTCGGAAACTCTAATACTATACCCTGACTCTGCTCCTCCTTGGAAGGCCTTTTCAAGATCCAGATTTGAAGATTTGAGAGCTTGCATTATCTGCTCTTCAGAAATATCATCTCCTTCCTCCAGTAGCCCAGAGGCTTCTAGGGATTGGGTGACATTTAGCTCTGCAACAATGGTCATGGTTCCATTGTCAGTTGATTGCTCAACTTTTTTAATTGCTACATTTTGTGGATTTTCATTGCTCAATTTTGTTAGGAAAGCCAACTCTTCCCTCAAAGGACCAGAAACTGAGGTCTGTAGGGTCTCCAAGGCTCCCTTCAGCTGCTGTTTGGGCTCCAAGGAGTCCTCTCTTAGGAACTCAAGCACAGATTCTTGCACTACAGGCGAAACCCGAACCTCTTCTTCAATGATGCATTCTGGAAAGCTATCTATGGGGAATGCACGATCACTTGACTTGTACTTATATTCATCACTTTCCTCTACAATCACTCTTCTCTGGGGAGGACTTTCATCTTGATAATACCTCTCATCTGATAAATCATCTACAACGCCATAATGTCCATAAGACATTATTCCTCCACCTTCCTCCGGTTCAGAAAGGTTTTCATCTGGTGTGGACACAAAGTATTCATGAAACCCTTGCTCCTGGGAGATAGGAGAAGATTCACTTTCTCTAGACAGCTCCTGAACTTGTACAGATGCTCTGCTCAACTGATCTGTGCCTTTTTCAGCAGACATTATGCCATTATCTTCATTCTTTTCTTCTTTAGGGTTGTGAGTTATATTTTCCATCTCCTCAATTTGGAAATATGTTGGCTCATAAAAACTTGATTTGCTCTTTCTTTCTACCTCAAGCTCTTCATCACTCAAAGACATAATAGGTTCCTCTATAACTTCCACATTGACTGACTTATTTTCCAAGTTTTCTCCTCCTTGAAGGTTACTTAGAAGGTTTTTAATCATGTTTCCCGTTGCTGTATCTTCTATGTCTTCCAGGGATATCTTCTTCACACCCTGGTTCAGGAGTTCCTCAAGCGCAGAGTCTTTCGAAACATCCATCTCTTCTTCAACTTTGGACTCAAGCACAATCTGGGTTTTGGTTGTGCCATCTTCCTGCTCACTTTTCTCCACGTGATACGTGACCTTAGAGTCCCCCGATGAGCATATCTTAGCTTCTAAACCTGCCGGTTTGATCACTTTCTCAATAATCTCCTCAACAGATACGGAATCCAGTATCTTTTTTTCTGTGAAGTCAACTGTAGGCTCTGCCTTCCCTTTGTCTCTGGATTCATCTTGAGTGTGGCCCTTCTCCTTCTTATCTAACACGTACCGTGTGGTTTCTGGGACAATTTGAGGGATGGGACTTTTTGCAGGGGGTGATAACACTCTTACCGACTTTGTCTCCTGTGTAAATCTTGGTTTGCTTTCATCAGGGACCTTGTTGAATCTCATGGTTTTCTCATCTGCAACTGTTTTCTCTCTAACCTCAATTTTGGTTGTTGTAGGAGGTGTAGAAGCAGCAGCCCGGGCTTTGTTGAATGATACCATATCTCTTCTGGATGCTGGACTTTGATGGCGAGCCCTTTCTGCAACTGAAATGGGAATGACCCTAGAGGGACTTAAAGATCCAGAGGTGGGCACAGGTGGTCTTCTTAGGTTTGTTGGTGATGTATACCGCATATCTACATGTCTTCTTGAAGATAAGATTGAAGCTCTTGGAGTATATGACTGACCAGGCACCTTGATATCTAAGCCAGATAAGAAATAACTGTAAGTAATAATGTCAATAATTCCTGCATTATTAATTTGTGCACATAGTCTTATTTATCCTGACAGTAATACATTAAATTATTATTCAGAAATGCTTCACATTGCAATACCTATAATTCTTTCTCTTTGATGTTGAGTCATCCTCCTGTGAGCATCTTGCAGACCAACTCTTTCACTTTCCAGGAGTGCCCTGAACAAAGACAAGAATAAACATCTTACGTTGATGCAAATTATATCAGTCAGGGATGCCAAGCTGTTCCTCATAGTATTAGAAAAACTCGAAATGAAATACCTCACAAAGCGATGCACATCATTTAGGTCTGCCATTTCATCCCCCTCAAACAGAATTCAAGACTTTACACGATGGCTTGTATCCTCAACCTGACCATATATGGTAGTAATCATGAAATTATGTTAAGCCAACACCTTAAAAAACAAAGACCTACTGTATTTAGCTGAAACAGCTCACCTTTCCTTGACCATGTCTAAGCAGACAAGCAAATCAAAGGGCCTCTGAAAAGTACAACCTTTCCGGAGCTCGCCTTTCAATAGACTGACCTAAAAATAACGACACAATGTTGGGCTGTCCATGCTCTTCCCTATAAATCTCAACTGCAATAGCTGACTTGTGACCTTTACAAAAACACATGCTGCTGCTGCTTCATTGCTAAGGGAGCATCCTGTGTTATCCAAGTATTTCAAACAAACTAGATTTGCCAGCTAAGATCCATATAAAGTCACACTGACTGAGGAGAGTGAGTGTAATCATTAAAGTTAGTGCTGATCACATGGCAATGTTATATACTGTAAACTTGCCCAGACTTACAAACAGAGAACATCTGAACAATAGAATCTAATATCTATAGAAAACACACACCAGACTTTTTCTTAGGTATTGTTATTCTACTGCTTGTTAAGATAAAAAAGCTTAACACTGTTAACATGGCAGCAGCTTATGATTTTGGCATCTAAATGTGGTGAAGATGAATATAATTTCAAGCATCACATAAACTTTAAATTAACTGTTCACAATCAAAGTACTCTAAATATAATTTCATATCACATCACACATTAAATCATGAAACAGATAGCATGCAGCAGCAAAAAAGTGCATTGGATGGCAATCCTGTCGGTTAAGAAATGGAGACTGAGGCTGCAATTTTCACCAAAACAATACCCGATTAAGTCTCAATTTCAGCTCAGACCAGTGACGTGCATGGGGGGCAGGGGGTCGAGGTGGCGGTAACCCCCCTTTGTGGGCAAATTGTTGAAAATTGCAATGCCAAAGAGCCTTCCAAGGAACTTTTTGCCCCTGTCCTTCAATACCGTAAGTCTGTGCAAGCCACTGGCTAACAAAGCTGGTTGGGTCAGCACTTGGATTATCGTGCGTGAGATGTTAACTTTGCAGATTAAAGCCCCTTATTGCCAGTTGAGGAATAATTCAAAACTCTGCTGTATTTTTGAATTCTGTTGCGCCACATCAGAAAGCTTAAATCATTGTAAACTTTTCTATGAAGTACAAAAAAAGGGTAACTTCATTCCATTGCCCTTCAGATAAGGCAAATGAAAATGAACTAGATCTCATTTCAAAGGTCCACCCTTTGGTTGTGATGGAATGAGACATCTGCATCATGACTAACCAGCTGGCTGTTTTGACATATTTAATATAAAACAGCTTCTGGAATCTCTTTAAAACCTGGTTCAATTTATTCCAAAAAAGTAAAAAAAATAAAAAATAAAAAAAGCCTTAAGCCTGAAACTCAGTGTTACTCAAGACATTTTTAAATGAGAAAGCTTTCTGGATGGGAAGCAAAACATCTTCAAACTTGGAATTCAAAGTCGAGTGGTTTATTTTTTTACTTTTTTGGAATGACTACAGCCTAGATGACTGAGAATATTCACCAGCAATATTGTTCAATTTCCTGAACAAAAAATCAAGGAAGTTCTTAAGGAGACAAGAGGTCCAAAAATGTACCTTTAAGATGTTGCTGAGTAAAGATGTAAGGAAACATGTGTAAAGTGGCTAGCAATTATTAAAGGAAAATCCAGAAATATATTGTTAAAGATATGTGTATACAAAATATGTATGCCGCATAGAAACAAGCAAATAAATAGCGACAATTTTGATGAAGTTTCAAATGTTGGATTGAGGATCTACCATCTATTTCAGCAGCCCAGATACGTGCTGTCAATAGTAATAACCTTTATCTGTCAACGTAATTATGTGTGATAATTAAATTAGTGCTTTGCATTAAACCTTTCCTTGGGGATGTAGTGAATAGCTCGGAGCATTGTGGATCAAGGATCTTGCTCTGGGACCCTGAGCGACAGTGTGAGGTTGGAGCTGCAAATTGAAGGGATACAATTCAACTGTTGACAGCCAAAGAACCATGTAAACACACATTCTGACACCCAAGGGCAATTCTGATTCACCAAATGAAGCCAAACATTGAACTGGCCAGGAAACACACACAAAAAAAGGAAAACATGAGGTCTGCACAAGATGAGTTACTTTCTAGCTTTTAAGCAATGGTTTTAGCTTCTCATGCAATATGCAGCCCTCTTCGGGTCATCTGTTTATGCCAGCCTGAAACATCTCTGGTCAATATAGAGTGTGAAAAACAAATTTTCACAAACTTGGCAATAAAACCTAAACTTGCTATCTTGGCCTGGTGGTTAGAGCAGTGCGCTTGTGCTCTGAGAAGGTTGCAAGTACCTGGTTCCATCCCTACATCCCTACATTGCTCAGGGACCCAGCACTCTGGGTCCCTGAGCAAAACCCTTAACCCCATCTGTTCCCTGGGCGCCACATAATGAAGCCCACTGCTCCCCAAGGGGTTGGGTTAAATGCAGAGAGTTAATTTAATTGATTATGACAGTGTAATGACAAAAAGTTTAATTCTATTCTTATATAAAGTATTATTTGATTTGAATAATCTTACCTGAAGGTGTCATATTTCTTGAGCCACCGCTTCAATTTGACAAAGAATATAGGTTTTGTTTTGAATAAAGATCACATTACTCATCCCCTTTGAAAAAATAACCAGCTTAAATCAATTTTAATTACATTTTAAGTAGCTATATTTGCTCTGTGTGCTGCTGCTGTACATGCCTGCAAAGTGCTGCTTGTACTGTCAACGCCTGCTAGAGTTTCTGCATGTAGGACAGACCTACTCAAGAATCTGTTATTTCAATTGGTGAAATGCTGCAACAGTAAAATGAAGAAACCACACTATTTACATAAAGTTTTTATTTGTTTCAAATGTTAGAAAAAAAGGAAAACTTCTATCACCTGTATGCTGCAACCTCAACGCCCAGATCCATCTTTACTTGGAGAAGGTGTTGATGTTCCCTCATTTTGTCTTCCATTGCCTCAGCCAGCATGTTCCTCTCATGCTCCAGTTGCTGGATAATCATCTGAAGGAGAGAAAAGTAATATTTCAGTAAGTAATTTTGTATCGTTGTTGACATCCTTTGTTTTTCTGCATTGCAGCGTAGTTAATGCAAAAAATAACACGTGTTCTTTATCCAAAAGGTGAGAGGTTAAAGTTTTTTATCCTACTTTTGTTAAACTGTAAATTGAAATTGTATTCATTTATGTAATTCTGTACACTACTTCCGTTTTAGCCTCCAACACATTGGAGGATTTGTCAGTCTGACAGCTAATTGGTTTAAGTGGCTAAAGTCATTTAGCAACTGTTCAGAGCTTGAGAAGTGGATTGTCTCACAGCCTTTTAAGCTTTGACCAAGGTTAGATGTTGCATACCAGATCCATGCTTTTTGCAGATATTCAAACTCAACTCCAATTTTACAAACAGAAGCACATGTTTATCTTTTATTCTGCTATTATTTAGGTGTGATACAATTATTTTGAAATTATTAAAGAGTCACGCTGATGTATAATTTATTTGTATGTAGCAGCCACTGAAAGCTGCAGCTGCATCAGAGCTATAATGGGCTGTGGGTGTGGCTGGGGAGAAAGGGACCGTGCAGCCTCACCCCTCTCCAATGGCTCATCATGATATTCAGCAGCTTGTTTAGTTTGTGAATAATTATTTTAGAGTTTTAACAAATGCTTCATTGTGTTGATAACGTTTTTTTTTTACACAGACTTGAATCAGACCCCCTCACCTGATGTTCACTTAAATCCACTCGGAATTTCTCTTGCATGTGCATGAGCTGCTCTTCCAGACGCATTTGAACCTGGCTCTGTTTTTCCGCCTCTGTGCGCAGTTTGCCCAGCTCGGACGCATACAGCATCTTCTCCTTTTTCAGGTCGCACAGCCTCGCCTGGTCCTCTTTGATCGACTTCTCCATTTCTTCTACTTTTTTCTGGTACATTTCAAACGTCTCTATCCATCCCTCGGACAGACCGCGCGCGTACTCCTGCACCTCTTCCACGGACACCGCCGGGAGGCCTGGATAAGTTTGCGTAATGATGGGCACCACCCGGGACTCCACTTGCTGCCGTAGCTGGGCCGCCTCCTGCCTGCGCGCCTCCTCTAAGCGCTTGTATTCGCTCTCCAGTTGAAGGAGCCGCTGCTGCAGCTCCATGTTTATTTTGTGCGCCTGCTGCAGCTCGTGCTCGCAGCCCCGCAGCTCTCCGCTGATGTCTCTGCACGCCGCGGTCTGTTCGCTGCACAGAGACTGGGCCCCCTGTAACTCACGCCATAGCTTCTCCCTCTCCATCTCTGCCTGGGACTTCTCGAAGGAGATCTGCTCCATCATCCTTCTGAGCTCCTTCATCTCCGCCTTGTATCTCTGCTCCCAGTCCGACGTTGCGCTGCCGCGTCTCAGTTTATTAATTTCAGCTATAAGATTCGCGTTTTCTTGCTCCAGCTGTTTGGTTCTGGACAGATACTGAGCAAGTCTGCTGTTCAGCTCATGCAGTTGATGTTTTTCGCTCTCAAAAGTTCTCTTGAAAGGAAGCATTTTGATCTGTGGTAATTAATAAAATCAGATTTAAAAAAAATCGGGCTTAATAATAATTCGGATTGTCCAAAAGGGTTGTTTGAGTGTGCGTCGGTGGGCTAAAGTGTAGAGCAATTTGTTTTCGGTGCCCTTTGACAAGTGCAGGGGGAGGAGGGCGGGTCCTGAACGCATCACAGTAACTGGAACGTCCCAAGCTTGGGCTGTGGCCATGGCAGATGATCTGCTGCATTCAGGTGCAGTCAGAAACGTGCAGAATAGGCCTACTTTAGGAGCGTTTTAAATAGCATCTAAGTATGCATGTTGTTATAGGTTGATTGTATTTTTATTTGCATCCGTCCAATCAGTTCATACCCCCTTTCTGTTTTTATGTTACTGCCAGATCACTTACAATTGATATTTAAATTGTCAAAGAGTCAGATACACTTTGACAATTTAAAATCAAATTTTCTTTACTAATTTGTTTTGAGGGCCATGCAAGGTTTTCCTTTTTATTTTTGCAAATTTTTAAACAAATTCTCATACCTGAACATTTCAAAGAAATATGTTGGAGCTATTCAAGGAAACTGAAACATAAATCTCATAAGGTGGTCTTCAACAGGGGGTCCGCGACCCCTGAAAGGTCCACAGAGGTACTGCATGGGGGTCACAAAAGTTTTGGTTGATTAGACTTTTTTATATTTCCCCCGTGCAAATGTTTACACTAAGTGAAATGTCTTTAAATCCACATTAACATGAATTCAACACACTGTAGTAAACACATAAATGGAGGCAGAAGATGTCTTTCA